AAACAGAGAACCTGAGAGTCTGTGGAGAAGGATCATCGGCGGCGAGGGAAGAGAGGAAGGAGAGCTCGGAGGAAGCGAGCTTGAGGAGAGTGCGTTGGCACGAAGCAGTGATGGAAGTCGATAAAGGAAGCTTCTCGATCGTTCTTATTACCGATTCGCATCTCTTCTTAGCTATCTCTATCTCTCCGATCGCCATGGATACTACCGTCGTCTTCCTCGGCGATTTCTACCGGAAAATGCGTCGTTATTGTCCAGAGAGAGCACCGAGACACTAACGAAGGACGCTAAACCGGCTCGAAATCGGTACACTAATCCCGGTTTGGATAGCTAGCAAGCTGATGTTCGGTCCGGTATTGGGTTTGTTTCTCGGCCCGCTCGTTGTATCGGGTACGTTTATATAAACTCAAAAGCCCAACAAATGCTTCCTTATGAAACTATAATTTTCTCTATATTCTTTTTGGATTTTTTTTTTCATTTTATTTCTTAGAACAAATTGAAAAAGAAACTTTTTTTTTGACAAAAAATCTTTATTTGGTATGACAATTTGAATCGGATGAGAAGAAACATTTATATATCGGTATTTTATTACCATTTTCAATTTCTTAACCGAATTTTAGACTAATATCAGAAACATATATAAAAATAAAACGTCAAAATGGTGGAATACTATTTCGGAAATTCATTTGAATATATGTTGATCTCATTTCATATACAAGTAACAAACATGTATAGTAAGATATTATTCTTATCTGCAATTTATGCATATTTTATTTTTGGGGTCTAAATGTTACAAAAATATTGTGCATGTTTTTGAATCATATAGGAAATTTTAAGCATATCCAAGTGACATATAAAAAAAAAAAGCATTCTTTTTGCCCCATACCTTTTATGTTATTTTCACATGAACTCCAAGAAAAAAGCAAAAGGTACAAAATCTGATTTTGCTTCAACAAATAAAACTCATGCATATTCTTTCTTTTCTTTTTTTGCACACTTAGCCTTTTTCCAACTTTTATTTCTAACGAATAATCTTCTCCTCCTTCCTTCTCCTTCTACTATGTCCCCCTTCACAGGTATATTCATTAGCTTAAGGTAACTATCTATCTATATATACATTGTGATTATTACCATGCTTTCAACAAATTACTTCATCTCAAATCATTTCAAAATACTCTATTAAGGAGAGTTTGATCAAAGAAATGGCTTCTTCTTCATCTCCAACTACGCTTCAAAGATCGGATTCAATCGCTGACAAAATGCCTGATGCATTGAAACAAAGCCGGTACCACATGAAGAGATGTTTTGCCAGGTTCTTTCAAACTTTCAAGATCACAATTTTGATTAGTTTTTTTGGTTTGTTTCTTTTGCTACATTTTGAATATGTTTGTGTGTGGGAAAATGTAATTTTAGCTTTGTTGGAGGAGGAAAGAGGCTCATGAAACGTGAGAATCTGATGAGTGAGCTTGAGAAATGTATTGAAGATAGCCGTGAACGCAGTAAGATCCTAGAGGGATTGTTTGGTTACATTCTCACTTGTACTCAGGTAAAAATGAATGCCTTCATTACAATTTTTGCAATCAAACACAGTTTTCTTGAGTGTTTTACACGATTTCTAAACGCGGTTTAATCTTCTCTGTTTAACTACTTAGGAGGCTGCAGTGGTTCCACCGTTTGTTGCACTAGCCGCGAGGCCAAATCCTGGTTTCTGGGAATTTGTTAAGGTCAATTCTGGAGATTTAACAGTTGATGAAATCACAGCCACGGATTACTTAAAGCTCAAGGAATCTGTTTTCGATGAGTCATGGTTAGTAAAAGATCTACATATATACAAAGTTTTAGCAATAAACAGAGCAAAGTTTTTTTTGGAAATGTTTTTGTAGGGCTAAGGATGAAAATGCATTGGAGATAGACTTTGGAGCAATTGATTTCACAACTCCTCGGCTTAATCTTTCTTCTTCGATTGGAAATGGAGCTGATTACATCTCTAAGTTTATATCTTCTAAGCTTGGAGGCAAATCCGATAGACTAGAACCTTTGTTGAACTACTTGCTTCACCTTAACCATCACGGAGAGGTCAAAAATTGAATCCTTGTTTTCCATTTTCATTGATCTTTATAACTAATTAACATAGTGATTCATCTCTCTGCAGAATCTCATGATCAATGACGATCTCAACACCGTTGCAAAGCTCCAGAAATCTCTGATACTTGCTGTGATTGTAGTCTCGACTTACCCTAAACACACTCCTTATGAAACTTTCGCAACAAGGTAAAAAAAACTCTGTTCAAGATTAGCTCTTTAGAACAAAAGGATCTGATTGAAGAAAGTTTCTTTCTTTAGGTTAAAGGAAATGGGATTCGAGAAAGGTTGGGGTAATACATCAGAGAGAGTGAAAGAAACTATGGTTATACTCTCAAAAGTTCTTGAAGCACCAGACAATGTGAAGCTAGATTTGCTCTTTACCAGACTTCCCACAGTCTTCAACGTTGTGATTTTCTCGGTTCACGGCTATTTCGGTCAGCAAGACGTCCTCGGTTTACCAGATACCGGAGGCCAGGTAATCGCGTAAACAAAATCTTCAAATATTACATCACCTTCAAATCTTCTTACCATGTTCATATAGGTTGTTTACATTCTGGATCAAGTAAGAGCTTTGGAGGAAGAACTTCTCAATCGAAATAACCAACAAGGTCTCGGATTCAAGCCTCAGATTCTTGTAGTGACACGGTTAATACCCGAAGCAAGAGGAACAAAATGTGATCAAGAACTAGAAGCCATTGAAGGAACCAAGCATTCTCATATTCTCAGGGTTCCTTTTGTTACAGATAAAGGAATCCTACGCCAATGGGTTTCAAGATTCGATATCTACCCTTATCTTGAGAGATACACTCAAGTAAAACTCATCTTTCTTTAAAAGACTTTTCTTATTTTCTCAACAAGAAGAGCAAAAATTAAACCTTCTTATTTACAGGATGCAACGAGCAAGATTCTCCAACGTTTGGAGTGCAAGCCTGACCTCATCATCGGAAACTACACAGATGGGAACTTGGTTGCATCTCTAATGGCTACTAAACTCGGTGTCACTCAAGGAACGATTGCTCATGCTTTGGAGAAAACAAAGTATGAAGATTCAGATGCAAAGTGGAAGGAACTAGATCCAAAATACCATTTCTCATGCCAATTCACAGCTGATTTAATCGCAATGAATGTCACTGACTTCATCATTACCAGTACCTATCAAGAAATCGCAGGA